ATGGAAAAAGCTGGTAAAAGATACTTTTCCTGTTAGTGGTAGCTAAAATTGAAGTATCAGTTTCCTTTTCTTACAGCTTTGGGAGAGAACTTACCTGATTTTTTCATGTATTTCCACATTTCACACAATCCTACATAGAGCTCCAGTTTTTAATCATCTTTATTCCATGGTTGCTCCAGATCAATACACCAGTTCCACAAGTGTAAAAATTTCTTCCTGAAATACAAAAATCAGAAGGGGTTCCTACAAGGTAGAAGTTGGGGGGAAGGGGGAAACCTGCTAATAGCATGGGGTAGGGAGATGTTTGCCTCGGCACTGTCAGCACCAGAGCTCTCAGAATATTGCTCTTTGCAAGGAAGGTTTAACAAACAAACACCACAACACACATCTGACAGGGCATAGCAGCTGAACAAACAGACAAGGGTATAATTTATCCCTTTCCCTGTTTTTCAGTGTCTATTTAATGCATTAGCTAATATGATGCTTACTCTGTGATGTCAGTTATGACAGAGGCTGCATCGTCTGTTGTTTTTAGCCTGGGTTTAATTAAGAACAAAGGAGGAGAGAGAGGGCAAGAGGTGGATGAGTTGGCACAAGAGAGGAAAATGGGAGGGCTGGATGGAGAAGAGAGAAAGGGCACTGTCACTAGTGGCTGTGGGACATAGACACACCCCAGACCCTAAGAGCTGTTTTTGATTAGGAACCTAACACAAAGTCCGTAATAATCTTGTCTAGACTTTAATTACTTGTGCTTTGGTTACCAGAGCATCCTTTTCTCTGACCTTGACAACTGTAGCTGTGCCAAATGCTAACTTTTTTCCCCATCCCCTTGGTCACAGCCTCTCCCAATGGATCATCTCTCACTGAGAAGTGACAGATCATCCTGCGACACCAGCCTGGCTTTGTTCTATTTACAAACATAATGTCTTCTCTCAAGCTGCCTTCACAGTCTGAAGACACGTCTTGGAAATGTCTTTGTTGCTGTCCTTCACATTGCTCCTTAAGATTCATGCTGGCTACAGGTAAACACTTGAGGCTCCTTGTGTGTCGAGACCACGACCTATCATCCTGATGGAGTCTGTCTCCTTGTATTCCTTTCTGACTTCCTCCATGTTAGGTTCTCTTTGATTTGAGGGCTGAAGCCATCTTTTTGCTATTTGCTTATAAAGGGTTTACCAGAATGTGATTACCTCTCAGGACAAGGGCTTTTTCACACCTTGCTAATAGGAATGATAAAGCTATACGAAAAAAATATATTGAAGAACAGCTTTTCCTTGTATTTTAGTCACGTATTTCTTGATACATATGATAACTCCCACTTTTCCCTCCCAGTTAGATGATGATGACATCCAGGGTCATCAATACTGAATGCTTTTTGGTTTTGTGTGGGGGCCCCTGAACCCAGATATTATCACCACTATTTCCATGTGAGTGCTTCTGCAATAACTGATTGAGAATCACATGGTAGGGCTCTGCAGGGAGCTGGAAAACTGCTACCTGTGAGGAAAATTAGAAGAAGAATTTCCCCCTTAAAATGAATTTATCTGATTCCTGTCTTCCTCAGATACACAGATTGAGGCTTAACTGCATAGAGTAGTTTTTTATTGTTTCTGTCGAGGAGGATGAAGGAAGGATTCTGATTGAATAAATGATATGTGTGAGGCATGGTTGATGACTAGTGATCATTGATTTGCCCAGCTCTGGTTTTCAAACACTGCAATTGTTTTCCTATTTTGCGGCCAATGTCTCTGAAACTCTATCATGTGTAAGTACTCTGAATATTTTATATTGCCGTGCTTCTTTTCCCCAGGTTTCTTCTTCCTTTCTTTCCTCAGCATTTTAATGGCCTGGGCTTTGAATTGTTTTATCACTCCAAAAGAGATTGACTGAGCAAATAATGTTGCTCTTTTGTTGATTACCTTGTCACTTAAATACTATTCCAATATAATGGGTAAGTTATTACTTCTAAGATAGATTTGCTGCTACATTTTTTTTCTCTGTCTTTAAGAAGAAGGAAGTTATGTCAGGAAAAATTATATTTCTTAGGAAGGAACAAGGTACTGTGCATTTGAAACCCATGAGAACAGTTGATTTTCAGTTCAGGGTAATACAATCTTTAATTAACTGAAGAGGAGACTTTCAAAGGTAAAAGTACAAGTTAGGTTCCTGCTATTCCCTGTGGTTTCTCTTTTCTTCTCTCAGTTGTATGATTTTGCAACTTTTTGATCTGTGATACAATAAATAAATCCTCTTAAATCTATATTGCTCTAATTTTCCACAGAAGGAGGATCCCAGAGCATCCAAACAGAACAAGAGCAAGCCAACAATCCTGTTGTCATTAGCGGTGTCTGACCACACACACTTTGCCTAAGTGTTTGAAAACAGTGTAGCTACTCTGAATTTACTGTGATGAATTTACCACAATGAATTGGGACAGAATATGGGTCTCTATTAGATGTATAAATAATTGAATATTTGTCACATCAGGAAAGCTGGCTTGATATATGAATAAAGACAACTGTTTCTTGATGAGCTCCAGTCCTTGAGTTTTAGTGCTTTAAGAGATTTATGGATAGTTGCCTGAGACAGCACAAAGTCTATGTTTGGAACAGTGTATTTTTAGAACCTATGCATGCAGGTAATAGGCCTGATTTTTATTTCTAAGGAATACCCCAAATTAATGTTGTAATCAATAGCTAATGTGAATGGTCAGCATCTCCGAAAGCTAACACCCAGTAAAGAAATGCAAGTGGTTTTCCTTTTATAAAAGAAGAAATCAAGAAACAGGAATCAAGAAATAAAATACAGAAAAAGAAAAAAACTCTCAATTCTCCTCCGCTTTTCAGAAGATAAGGCTTGTGCACCTTTTTCACCATTTATAGCTCTTCTAAGTGTGAAGAACCAGCTATGAGGAGGAAAATTCCCAATCAAAGGTGTTATATGTGGGAGAAAAAGAGCTGTTTCCAAGCTGAAGAGGTAGGGGTTAAGGGACAGTTGGAAAACAGCTGAGGCTCATTCTAGAAAAATCAGCCTGGTGCACTTATTTGTAAAGGAAAAGAGTAACAGCAGAGGTGCTGATTTCTGCTTCTCTTCAAGAAATGCTGTGATACTAACTTTGGTGGAGTTTGACTAGCCTATTGTAAAAAATAGGTAATGATATATAGGGTTAAAAAACCCCCCAAAACATCTCAAAAAAGTTCTCTGCTGTGGGGTTGCCTGTATCACATTGCCCTGCAGCAGAAACAGAGTGAAATCAAAGGTGGCTATAGAGAGGTTTTCACAGGGAGTGAGGCAATGGTAAAAAGGTGCATCAATAGGGAAATACCTCCTGCCTGGGTCAAAACAACCTGGATCCACTGTAGTCTCTCCAAATCGATATCCAGGATCATAAGGGATATAAAACTTTAAGTGTGTTGGCCTAAGGAAACAGTAGGAGCTATCAGAGTAGATCTGAGAGGCAAGTTACTAAGAACATGAGCTGTGAGCATGGTGCTGTGCTTGTCTGAGGAGGGGACCTCCCACAGGCACACGAAGAAGGCTCCAGATAGCACAAGTGCTGGTTCTGTGAGCTCTGCTCCACAGACAACATCCCTTCAGGTAGGTGATGACACTTTTAATCCCAGGTAGGTCTCTGAGAAGACTTGATGGTCCTAAAGCCCTTTGGGGCTTCCATTAACAGAGCCTAGAGAATCGGCTCAAGAGCCTTGGACAGGACACTCAAGATACAGGAGAAAAGGGAGGAGCTTATCTGCAGTCAAGTTGTACTAGGAGATCATCTGGAGACAGCCTAGGAATCTTTTTAGTGCTGAATTGCTGCCCTGTTGAGGATCTAGGATGTTAGACAGTTGTTCAAGATGGCCACAAGGTTCTTCATCCTTTCCAAAGTATATTGAGAGTATCCTGTAAAGCCCCTTTTTTTACTGACTGGAAAACACAATTTAGTTTGCCGTGTGGAAAGCAGCAGTGTATTACTGGGAGAGGGTGACAGACAGATGAAGGTCAGTTCTATGGTGCATGGATGTAGAATTATATAAAAATAAGATTAAAAAAAAAAAAGCAAATGTATATTAGAAGTGTTGAAATATCTCCCTAATATAAAAATATTGTGTACTGCCTGCTGGGAGGAACTTTAGACTAAGTTGAAGCTTTGCAAATTTATCATGGAGGCAACTTCTTTCAATGTAGCAGAGAACTGCTGGGTTTTGCATGAGTCTCTCTGATTCTTGCTTGATTTTGAAAAGCCAGCAAAAAGAAAGCAGTCATTATAATTTATAGACAACAATATATAGAACAGCCCGTTTGCTGCTACTCCGCAAAGTTAAATGGTGATTGTCAGTCACACTTTTTTCTCCAAAATATCAGCCTGTCTGTCGAACCACAGTGTGGCACTAATGGTATAAATGCAGCAGAACACAGATGGAAATTAAACAGCAGCTGGGTAATCATCTTCATAAATGTAATATTAAAAATATCACAATCCTTTAATTTTTGTTCTGCTTGTATAAGGCAGAGCTGCATAACAAATAACTCTCATAACTTTTCTGAGAGAAGCGCAGCTTGTGACCGGTTTAAAGCAAATGACTTTTTTGCCCTCCTGTTCTCGCTAGGGCTTTTCTTGTACCAGTATTAACAATCTGTTATACACCAGATTAGGGTCATTAACCACTCATTAGTTCAGAGAGAGGAAGGCCACCTCTCGTTTGTTGAATATTGATTAGGAGGCAAGAGAGCAGACCAGTCTGAAGCCACCACGGAAGATGCTCAACTTCTGAAGCATTACCTCTGTATTTTGTAATGCTCTGGATTAGATCTGCTGTGGCCACTTTCATTTTCATTTTTACTGTTTCTTTTTTTTGGTCTTCCTCTCTTGTACAGGACCAGGCACCAAAGACTGCTGACTGAATAATAAACAAAAATAATGCTGTCATCCTCAGCCACTTGCGGGGTGGAGAAGTAGTCTGACAACTCAACTTGGCTTGGCTATCCCTCATGGGCAAGCCTACCTCCTTTCCTTCCTCTGATGTACTGCAAGTCTTGTCCTGCTGCCAATACCACCACAATAGATTACAGCGCTTCTCTGAATAGAGATACTGGTGAGTAATTTTCATCTCTACTGAAATTAATTCATACATTTCCCCCCAGTTTTCATCAAAATCAACTAACTTGACTGATTTAAGGTCCAAATGTGCAATTGATAAATATATAAACCCTTCTAAAGACAGTTTGTTAAAACTGGTAACATAATGGTAAATACTGTTGAAGATGACCTTGAGGTAATAACTTTAAAAGCTGATGATAATAGGATTTGTGCTGTGGTAGTAGTAGGTGTTTAAAAATTAAACAAGCAAAACATTTGTTTCAGTATTAAAAAACCTCATATTTTGTCTTAATATGTGCAATAATCCAAGCCTGACTGTGCATAATAAGCTTGTAATCTTATTGATTCATTGATGGTGAGATAACAAACACGTGTAAATGGCAAATAGGTTGTCTGTGAGAAATGCAATGTGTGATGGACCCGCTTCAGCGTGGCAACTTCTCTGTGGTCTCGCAGTGTCATTGTCCTTCTGCCTGTTCCTAGCATATTACCTGCAGATTACTTGCCTTGCTCAGTGTCCCCAGCACACTATTAAGCAAACCAGTTAGATTTTACAGATGATTCCAGTATTTTAGGCACTGCTTTACCTTTACTTGTTAGCCCTCATGTCCTGTACATTATGCAAATACACTGATTGGTAAGCCTGTACAGCTGGATAAAGTGATCCTTGGACACAGGAACCATGCCAGTTGCTTATGTTGCTGGTTTTGTAAGTGTGTTTCTCAGGGTAATTTTCCCCAGGAAATCTTCCTATGTTGATAATAAAAATGTTCGTGGGGGTTGATATTTTTGGGTATGGTACACATTGTGTCATTATAAAAGTAAACTTTAATGTTTAATAAAAGTGTGATGTGGATATAAACATAAGGGGAATGGTAGAGTTAAAAGAAACAAAAGTATTTAAGATTGTGACATTACTGGCAAAGGGAGGGCAAACTGCTCTTCAACTCATCACACCTCCATGAAAGTTGTAGGGCCAAAATACCACATTTCTTCAGGCATGATCCTCTGCTATTTATTTTGTCAATGACAAAATAAAATATTCCATACTGTTTTGATAAGTGAAGGTTGAAGGCTTTAAAAAGCTGTTAATATCATCTTCTCCATTAGTTGTTTTTGAAAATGAAACAAGCTCCTTTAGACCTCTCTTCCCATCTTTTATAGCTCCCAAATCAGCAAAACAGGTTATGGGCTAGAGATACCATCTCATCCTTCCCCTGCTGTCTAGGGAGTTCAGGGTCATCTTTACCTGCATGAAATGTACCCCTACAGAAAAGAGGAAGTTGTATTTAATTTTGTTCTCCATTATACACTCCAGAAAATGCAACTTCATCTATATACCCCCTAAGATGAGGCAGAAAGCAGGAGCTGCTCATCTAATAATCTCCTCGTATCCAGTTCAAAATCTCGCCATGCTTTCCCGAGGTAACACTGTGATCATTTCTCCATCTAATCCTTGCTAACTGCCTCTCTTAGCTCACTGTAGACTTCATAAAAAGTGAATATCAGGTTCATGCAAAATAAGTTTTGCTGAGCATTAAAGTCTGCCCTTCTGATGCAGACTCTTATTTTCATTCAGAGAAAGTCTGTGTATGAGGCTCATAACTTTTTGGAAGTATCTGTACCATCACATGGGTTATTTTTTTAAAAGAGTAATATATCTGGAGTTAAGGCATTGGCTGTTAAATAAACGTTTCTTGTTTTAGTTTCTTATCACTCCCAATAGGTTTGGATGGAAATCATAGTGCTTTAATATAGGCAGAACTCTGAGGGAGACTGCTGCAGTGACCAGGAGATGTTAGGGACTTCTGAAATGGTGCATGGGTGTCTAGGAAGAATGGATTGCAATCTCACTTGAACATCAGACAAGGCGGGGATCCCGACAGTTTTATTTCCAGAATAAGAGCTAGAAATATCACCTGCATTCTGCCCAGATGCAGGGGACCATTCACTCCTGCAGTGCTGTTTGGGCCTAACCGAATAGTCACCTTCCAGCTTGGTTGTGGGGCCAGACAAGCTGTACATGTGTTTAAGCAGCACCTTCTTGTTAGGTTGGTGTAAGAGCCCTGCTCCATCCTAGTGAAACATTCCTTCTATGATTTTAACTCAAATGAGGCCTTTGTTAGCTGGGAAGTGTAATTTATATGCTCACTTGTGTCCCTAAGGACATGGGGGAAAAAGCCCCAATGTGTCCTGATGCCTATCAAAACATGCAGGTGCTAAGGATCATCCCCAGGGCGTGAGGGGGTGAGATAAGGCACAGCTGAGACAGTCCCTGGGTGCAGTAAGAGCTGCTTGGGAGGGGCTGCCTCGTGGGAGCTGATTACAGGAGGACTCATCTAGGTGCTCTAGACCCAATCTGAGGGCTGCTAATGCCCAAAGGACAGGTGTTTCTCTTTTTCGTATGGCTGGGTGACCTCTTTCTTTGGGTTTTAGAGACCTCTCCTTGGTCTGGCAGACAGTGAAGTCACCCTGAGCTCTCCCCTGCTACTGCTCCTTGCAGAAACCACTGCTGATGGGGGCATGCACATGCAAATGCTAATGCTAAGTATACCTAGATGCAAAATATCTTTAAATCTGTGTACAAGCTGTGCATACCCTGCATATAAAGAAATGAAGTACTGCAGTGAGTTTTGCGGGCGGGGGTTAACACTTCAAATTAAGGCAGTGTTCCTATAGTGACCTATAACTCAGTACTGCCAGATTGTCTTCAAATTGTAGACCTCAATCTCTTTTCTCTTTCTTTTCAAGATAACCTAACAGTTTTCAGTCTAAGATGTTTTTTAATTCCCTGGCCAAAATTGTATACCACTAAAAATAGAGATTGTAATAGAAGTTACAGCTTTTAACTATGAGGCCTTCAGGATGGCTCCATTATACTGCAGTTCTGTTAATTAAAATGAAGGGAATAAAATATATAATAGGATTGTGCTAATAAAGCATGAAATGAACAGTCTTACCTTAAGACACTTGTCTATCTATTTTTCCTTATTGCATGAGCAGTTATCTTTGTCTTCCTCAAAACACACTGAAATTGAGGGATTTTTTTTTTTTTTTTTAAAAAAAGAAAGCTTCTAAATCTTCCTATTCACTGTCATTCTGGCATCCTCTGATTTGTCACATAATTGTGTTTAGGCATTTTTGGGCAGTGGGTGGGAACACAGCGTAGCCTAGTTGAATAGGTGCTTCATGTTGAATTCAGATTGCCAAGTGCTACAGACTGAATCACTGGAGCTGATGGATTTTTTTTTTTTTTTTCTGTGTGCTTTCAGCAGAACTTGTACTGAAAAATAACTTTCACTTTTCACCTTAAACCTAGAGGGTTTCTCAAATGGTCTGTGATGTTGTGAATCTGCAGTACAAGTTGTAGACTCTTAATAGTAACCATAATGCAGAAACAAAGCTTTTCTATCAATGTGACTATACCAGGAAAGAAAATTGAATCTTTCTCTGTGTTTTCTGAATTAAAATTTAGAATGTGCAACAGCAGAATAGAACTAGAAGCTGTAGGTAATGTTGAACTCAATTCTTCAAGAATGATATTATGCCCACAGCATTATTTTTTTTTTTTTGCATAGTTGTACTACATATAGCTCCATTCTTCTTATACAGTCTATGCATATATATTTTTTACACAATTCCACCAAATAGAATTGGAGTTCTTATGAAATGGATTGGAATGACCTCAGATGTTTACAGGGTTGGGGTTGATCAAATGCAGACCTCTGGACAATAATGCCTGCATTAAATACCATTTAGAACATTAAATTTTGGTAATATTTTAAAATATTCTGTAATAATATGAACATTGTTCATAAGAGTATTGTTTTTAAAAGAAAAAATAATGCACCTTTAGGTTTAAATAAAGAGGAAGTTTATGCAGAAGTCAGTTTGTCTATGCACTTACCAAGAAAGAGAATTCAAAGGTGAGAGCAGAGCACCGGGTTCAAACGGGCAGGGTTGCCTGGCACTCAGTCACCCATGGGACATCTGCCACTGACAGCAGCCAGCACAGCTTTCAAATGGGTTATAAAATCCTTGAAATCAAAGCAGAGGCAAGATGTAAAATATGTTAACTTCTGTCACTTGCATGGCTCAGAGAGACACCACTGTAGAAATAAAAAGTAATATTCTGAGTAAACCAAAATGACAGAACATGCATTACAAAGTGCTGCTCAAGCATATAAAGTGCAATCCAGTCACTAACTCAAATGAAATATTCTGCTAACTGTTATGGGCATCAGCCTTGCACCATGGCAGTGCCTGTGCAGAATAGCTCTGAATAAGAACTGGGAAAAGTTCTGATAACTTATCCAAAGAAGTCATTAGAGCTAGCACGGTAACATTTTTTGGAGTGTAGCTGATCAATCCATCTGAAACTGCTGCTAAAAGGAAACAAAAATATATTTCTTGGTAAGAGTTTCCACAGCTGAAGTGATGTTTTTCCAGAGTTGAAATGCATCAGGTTTTTGATAGCCATTATTAGATGAAATACTGTTGGGAGACTTCAGCTCTGAGCTGATCTTGTCTCATTTTGCTAGAATTAAAGGGTGATTTGTGAGGTTGCTGTGGTGGGAGCAACACTAGTAATTTTTTGTTGCAGGGCTTAAGATTTTATTGGGTGTTGTGCAAGGGAAAATGAAAAATCTCAAGTCTCATGTCTATATTTTTAAAATAAGTGTGATGATGTACTTGGAACTTAAACAGTGCATTCCTTTTGGTGTTTAAATAGTAAAGAAAAGCAAGCTTTTTCATCATGTTCTGATTGTGAAATATTTAAAAATAGTGAAAATAGCTTGGATAAAGATTTTAATCTCAAATATTAAAGGATGTCTATATATTTGTCTGCTCAAACTGAAATTGGATATTAATAAAAAAAAAAAAGAAAAAAAAAGAAAATCAAACTTGTCTGCCCCTTCACTGATGGTAACAAGGATTGTACTGTGGTGTGCTGTTCATCCTGCAAAATAGGCTCTATCTGTTCTGATGGTATCA